GGCTCTCTGGGCCTCCTCGAACCCTGCCTCTGACCAACTCAAGGCCTCTTGCCAACACAGGTAAATCGCCGGCTCCAGCTTTACTACTGCCAGGGAAATGGACCCACCGGCACCATTTTGCAGGCAGGCGACTGTGTGTAGCTGGTGGCGCTTACCCAATATGTAGGGGCCATTGTCGGCTCAGGGGGTCCCTGATCAGCGTGCAGGGCTCTTCTGGCTGGTATTGGAGTGTCCGGCCCTTGCATGCGACCTCCGGCCTTTCGGGCTCTTCGGGCCATCAAATCGGGCCCTTAGGCGTAAATTCCGACCTCCATGCTCCTCAAAAGGGCCCCTCGGAACCTAATGGGGTAGAGGCACGTGCCCCTGTGCCAACTGCGCTTGCACTGCTGTACTGGAAGTGCTCGAACGGTTGGTTGCCCCATGGCTGAGGCTTGTGGAATTATTACAACGTAAAGAGAAAAAGCTGCTGTCAAAAGGAGAAAAAGACGAGATACCAAATGATCAGGAGGGTATGTCGTAACTTTTTACTCATTTCAGCCAAACGCGAATTGTTGTAGGGTTAAAGTCTGTGATTTGATACATCGCTGTAATGATAGCTGCACTCTTTTGCTACGCACATGCCACTAAGACAGCACGAGGAACCTCGACACAAGAACTTGATCACCGCGGAAAACACTCTCGAAGCCACGTCTGGCATCAAAACGTTTGTGTGCGGCTTATGCGTCGCCTATGGCACAAAGACTGTTGTTGGTGAGTTGCTCAGCTTGCTATTCTGGGACGACGGCGGTCGTGGGGCCTGATGGCGGCCGTCCAGGGAGCGTCAGTCCTCGAACAGTGGTGTGAGCACGAACACTTCATGCTTCACATGACCATGCGCTTCCTGATAAACACTCAAGGCATGGGACGGACCCAGCATCCATGTCTGAAAAGCCGTACTCCATCAGGCGCCGAGCGGGGCCGCGCGTCGGCGATCCTTCGCTTACCGACGCTCGGTCGGACTTCACCAGCTGGGCAGGCCCACAGACGGACTTATACCGGCTGGGCAGGACCACGGACAGACTTATACCGGCTGAGCAGGAAGATGGACGTATTTATACCGGTTTAGCAGGACCACGAACGGACTTATACCAGCTGGGCAGGACTACGGACGGACTAATGCTGGCTGGGCAGGACCACGGACAGACTTATCCGGCTGAGCAGGAAGACGGACGTACTTATACCGGTTTTGGCAGGACCACGAACGGACTTATACCAGCTGGGCAGGACCACGGACGGACTAATACTGGCTGGGAAGGACCACAAGCGGACTTATGCCGACTGGGCAGGACCATCGACGGACATATACCGACTGGGCATGACCACGGATGGACTTATGCCGGCTGGGCAGGACCACCGACGGACCTATACCGGCTGGATAGGACCACGGACGGACATATACCGGCTGGGCATGACCACTGACGGGCCTATACCGGCTGGGTAGGACCATGGACGGACCTATACCGGCTGGATAGGACCACGGACGGACATATACCGGTTGGGCATGACCACTAACGGACCTATACCGGCTGGATAGGAACACGGACGGACTTATACCGGCTGGGCAGGACCACGGGCGGGCCTATACCGGCTGGGCAGGACCACGGACGGACCTATACCGGCTGGATAGGACCACGGACGGACCTATACCGGCTAGGCAGGACTACGGACGGACCTATACTGGCTGGGCAGGACCGTCCACGAACCTTTACCGGCTGGGTATGACCACGGAAAGACTGAGCAGGACGATGTTCGGTCTGTACGCACACACGGCAGCGTCAAGGCGTTCGCCAATTGAGTAATCACAGCAGGCTCATTTGAATGCTTGTGACAGCCTCACCGACGTGAGAAAATAAAGCGAAAACGAATCGCCGGAGTTTGTTTGCTGAGACTGTTTGCTGGGACTGTTTTACTGTTTGATGTGTGACATGGTGCAGCTGCACACCTCGGTCACACGCTGTGCGACGCGGCGCAGTTGCACATCTAGGTCACACGCTGTGCGGCATGGCGCAGTTGCGCACCCCAGACACACGGTCCTGCTGCCAGATGAGCCTCTGGACGCGTGGCCTGAACACGGCGGCCCAACAGCACGCCTACCAGGACAAACAAACAGCGGCGTGCAGTCAGGCAACTCTCCTTACAGCGCCGTTTGGCAGCACTGCTTGCTTACAAGGAACAATGGCGAGGGAGTACGGTCGGCGCTGAGTCAGGACTGGCATCTGGTGCTGAACACACGACCCGTGCCATATCCACGAGGGGTATGTAGGCACGGCTCGCTCGTTTCCTCTGTTGCTTTGGTAAGAGGGATTGTGGTAGCAGGACGTTGGTTGGTTATGCTCTAGCTTATCTATCTTTCTGATAAACTCGCCGCAGAAAATTAGGTTGCTCGTCATGGGGAGGTAGAACGCGGATGCGCGACAATTAGGCTTGACCACGTAGTTTGGAGTAAGTTTGGAGTAAGACATTGTGCAGTTGGTCGACATTAGTGGTGACTATAAGACATTGAATTTTACTTTGTCAGCTTTGTTTTATCCAATTTACTCAAAAGTAAATATCCCATCTCTCTAGTCCTAAAACGTTAGAATTTGCGCACGTTAAGTAAAATCTCAAAACGCAGCTGGGGGGGGGGGGGGGGGGGGTTCCTTGCTGTGTGATTACAGAATGGTGGAAATGTGGCAAGGAAAATTTGCTTTCCGTCGTCCCAAAACTCTTACATATTGCGCACAGTCCAGCTGTCATTGACCATCCTAAGGTGACCGCAATCATGGTATCTGTGCTCAAGAATACTGACGTCTAGAACATGGTGTCAGGTTCATGTGAAGATGCTCGATACCCTGCTTCAGACAGTCTACTGTGCGCTGCTCTGCTGCTGATTGACACCTTGTGATTGGTCGACGGAAGATGGCACCCGGTCAGCTTCGAAGTAGATTGTGGGGCGGTTTAAAGCAATCCCTCAGGTTTACTGGGTGAAGCACAGTCCCGCGCTCAAAGCTAAGATTTTTGAAACGGAGATGAAAAGTGTTAACCTTACACCGCCTGTATATCTATGCACACAAGTGTTATGCTTTTAGGAGCATTACAACGCGGCAGTTTTAGGCTGTCGTACATTTTGCGCTTGCGTTATTGTTCTACGATTCCGCACACCTGCTCCAGAGTCCCATGTCAGGCTATAATGAGAAACCACCCTAGTGTATCTGCTACTTATGAAGCCGACGTTTCCTAGCCCTGCTTTCTCATACCGGCGATACAGCATTTATTGGGACCATCCGCTCCTAATAAAGACACTGTTCCTTGGTCCTGTCCCATCTCAATAGGCACACTGTCCCAGCCTGGGACGTGCTGTCCCATCATTGTCCCGTCTATCAGTGAAGTCCATCTTTCAAGGACCCACTTGTTTTAGCGGAGTTTCTGATACCTGATACTGTCTATTTACGGCGAAATTCCCGTTCCCTGATCCCACTACCTCCGACTGACACGCTGTTCCCCATTCCGTCCTTTCCCACTGAAGTCCCTATCTTCCGGCCCTGTTCACTCCCAGGGGAGTTTCTGCTCCCTGATATTGTGTGCCCTCAGTAGAGGCTATATGCCTTGTTCACGCCTGTTCACGCAGTAGGGCACTGTTCTCCAGTTCAGTCTAATCGCTGTGCTTTGGTCATTAGTCCAGTCTGCTTTCATTGGCACGTCTTCCTATAAATGTCATTGCACCGGTCAGTTTTTCTCGTTTCCTCGTCACTTTACCACTGAATCTGATAGCACATTTTCAGCCCCTTCCATCGACTTCCCGGTCAAGTGTGACCTTGACCTATGTCAGTGGACGTCACGCTCCCTGATTCGCCGAGTTGCGGGTTTTACCTTCCATGGCCCCAGTGCTAGCTAGCTTCACTTTCCATGGTCCCGAGTTCCGGTGACAAAAGTCCTTGTGCCCCGTGTGACCACCGGGTTGTGTTGCTGGGCTCTAGGATTCATGGCTGATCCTCTCCTCTAACGATCGGTTTCGTGGATATTGTCGTTTTTCGTCAATGCACGTGCTCGGCGATCCGAGAGCCTCCACGACGCCGGCGACTTTCACAATTACTGGGTCGTGTGTAACCCCGGACAGCTACCTTAGTCGGCGCTAAAAGTACACACTCTGCGTGGTCGGATGTCGAGCCCGGTCTGTCGATACGACACGCGGGCGAAGGCGTCACGTTAGCAATCTACACAGCGCTACCAATATATAATCCTCCTTCCCTCCTAATGAGCCATGATTTGCGGGCTGTGCGTGCTCTAGCGGGTCACAATAGCCTGGCTCTACGGCATGGAATGAGCCGGCGACCATGCGGAACGGGCCGGCGGTGACAGCGCCTCCACGCCCCGGGCTTATCGTCAGCCGAACTATGCAAATGACGCCTTGTCCCGGGCGCGCTGACAAGCGTGGGCAAATGAAACGCTACTGCAGAATGCGCACTTGCCTGGTTTCTGACATAGGTGTGCAGGTCAGTGAAAATGACTGCCGTACAGGGAGTAATGCACCAGCTAATTGCAGGCGACCTGGGCGTCTGTCGTGTTGCTTTGCCGAGATTGAAGGAAGGGTTTCATGCACTTAACTCATCTGTGCCCATGCTGTCTGTCCGACGCAATGCATCTCTAATTGGATCGCATTCACAGTTAGGCAAGGGGCATACAAAAGAGCACAAAAAAGGACATCAATCATTGTCGTGCCGAAAGGCGCTTAGACAAGTTGAACAGATTTGTAGGACGCGCTGGAAGTATGCACTTTCCCCAGCCAGTTGCTTGTGGGTAGGCGGAATACCACCGGGCTCAGATCCAAAGCTCGTTAACTGAGCGTGGGCGTGCCACACAGAGAGCAGCACAGTCGTGTAAGCACCACGCCCAACACAACCGCATTCCATAAACGGGTGGGGGAGGCGGAGCAGCCGATGGGCTGAGAGCGGGCTCAGGAGTCACACGACGGAAGTACTCACTGACGTAGCGGACGATGTAGAGGATGAAGGCGATGATGAAAATGTGGTGGTGTCCGCAGTAGTTTATGAGCGGCTCGGCCTTCAGCAGGAAGGGCACCAGCAGCAGGGCGCCGGCCACCAGGCTCAGGCCGTTCTGCAGTTGGGTGCCGCCCAGGCTCTGCAGGTGGGCGTACAGGAACGCCTCGAGAAAGCCCCAGAGCGAGCCGAGCAGCAGCAGCACGCACAGCACGCTGAAGAACTCCAAGTTGCCGAGACTCTTGGCGAGCAGGCGTGAGTAGGAGCGGCCGCCCGGCGTCGGCGGCGGCTGCACTGGCAACACTGACGCAAGAATCACGCAGATCAACATCAGCGCGCAGAAGACGTAAAAGCTGGGCCGGAAGTCCAGGTAGTGGAAGAGCTTTCCGTGTACGTCGATCAGATAGCCGCAGAATGGCGCGAACGTCATGAGACCGAGCAGCCCCCAGACGAACTCCCAGCCGAAGTCGGAGTCGTGTCGTCGGCGCAGCAGCAGCACGGTGGCGTTGATCAACACCAGCGCCAGCGGCAGGCACAGCTCGGTCAGCGCGCGCAGGCCGAAGTACAGCCAGAAGGTGAGCCGTCGGTCGCCGAGGTCCTCCGCGCACCGCTCTCCGGTGAAGAGCAGGTCCTGGGCGGTGAGCTGTCGCGGCTGGCAGCGCACGCCGCAGCCGGGCGGGCTGCGGCAGGCGAGGCCACGGTACCGCTCGCCGCGCGACATCAGGTCCACCAGCGGATACCAGCACTGGCGCAGCTCGGGCCGCGGCAGGGACGCGCGGCAGCGACGCGTTCACCACCAGGCCGTCGCCGACGTCGGCCACCACCTCGCAGAAGGTGCTGTTGTCGGCCTCGAGGCAGAGGTGCGGCAGACCGGATGGCAGCGTCACCCCCGGCTCGCACTCGAACGAGCACCGCTCCAGGTAGTAGACGCGGAGCACATCGTCGCCCGGCTGGCAGGCGGCGCCGCACCACTCGCTAGCCACCGCGCTGCCCTCGTCGTTGCAGTGGAAGGAGAGCGTCGGGCTGGGTCGCGACGCCGGCTCCCGCACGGCCGGCACCAGCATCAGGCAGGGGTAGGCGGCGGCGCAGACCAGCAGCGACGCCACCAGCAGTGGCCGGTAGTTGCCCCAGCGGTCGGCCAGCGCGCCGCCCAGCAATGGGCCAACGCAGCCGACGAACGGCAGCACGAACTGCAGCCAGCTCAGCTCGTCGGCCGTCAGACCCAGCGTCGACATGTGGAGCGTGACGAACGGCAGCACGCAGCTGATGCCTGCCGGCACAGCCGGGAGGCACGGTTATGAAGGGCGCCTGGTCTCGCTGTCAGGCTGGAGGCAGTTTGTGGCGGCATAGCGGGGGCAGGGGGTCACGGGGTGAGACTCGGAAATCTGTCCAAAGTTAATAGCATGACGCGGAATCTTCGAATAGACCCGAGACTTTTCAGATTTAATCCAAGCCTTTCGAATGGATGGATTTCTGGTATCAGAGCTCATGTTAAGCAGTGCTTGTTGTGCGAGACCTGATCCCTACCACCCGATCGAGCAATTCCAGGTCGATGGCAGAGTTTGATGGCGAAATTTGAAGGTGCCGCAATGCTCGGCACACGTCCGTCCTGCCCACAGACGTCACACGACCTTTAGTGCGGCCGCTGCCACCCGCCATAAGCCATATATGTGAACACAAATAACGAGAGCCTAAAGCGACTCGAACCCAACCCGCCATGGGTGGCTCGGAAGGCACCCACTGAGTCATGGGGACGGACTTCATTTGAACACGGATATTTCAACTGGGCACAAGCTTCAAGAACACCCCGGGGTCTACCAACACAACCATTCAACTGGGGAGTTCGATCGCACACTGGGTTTCCGGCCACGTGGAATAGCAAATACGTAGGCACTCGAGACTTGATAGAGGAATGTGCGTGCGTGTATGCGTGCCGACGAATGGCATCCCTTTCATTCATGCTAGCGTGCGTGTGCCTACGATCGTATTACGTGCACGCGCCGGCGTGTGCGTGGCGCGTAACATGGCTGTGGTTGCGTCGTCGGCGTTTCAGGGCGGGTAATTTTCCCATCGGAGCTCGTTGTGTTGATGGTGACTTATTGACAGCGGAGGCTGTCAGCTGATGAGGCTCGACTGGGCGCCCCGGCTCGCCGGCGCGCCGTCCCTCAGCTCCGTAGAATAAGGCCCGACTGGGCGCCCGGCTCGCCGGCACGCCGTCCCTCACCTTCGTAGAATGAGGCTCGACTGGGCGCCCGGCTCGCCGGCACGCCGTCCCTTACCTCCGTAGAATGAGAAGAGCATCACCCGTAGCGGCAGCAGTGCTGTCCTGCAGATGGCCATGCTGAACTGTCCCGGGGCCGGGGGTGGCGGCCGCGTGGCGAGCTGCCCCCTCTGGTCAGCGCCGGCCCCCGGGAGCGGCCAGCGTCGGTGGGCAGGTCACTGGCGAACTCGACACCTGTCCAGCAGCCGTCACTGGTGCTCACGCTCCGCGGTGTTCTTTCCCACGAGCGGTGCACTGAAGCCAAAGGACAGACAGTGCGTGAGCTAATCACAAACAGCTGTAGTGAGAAACAAGCCATCAGCAACACATAAACGGAGCATTTGTCAACGTGTGATAAGATAACGTCGTCATGCTAAATGTAATGGACTAACACAAAGCGTCAATAGCTCTTTGTGCCAGGTGCCAAGGTCATTAGAGTGACCATTCCGGTCTAAAAGAAAAGCGTGCGTCGTAATTCTAGGCGCGTTCCGGATTTTTCCCTCGGATAAGATGGAAAAGTTTTAAGCATTCTATACATCCTAGCGCTGCACATTCGGTTTCATTTCGACACTCAAATCTGCGGTAACATACATTCGAATTTTCTACATGATTGCTGGTAATTTTTACATGTGATGCTTCATATGTATGCATACCGAGCAAGGCGTCGACAACTTTTCAGTGGTGTTGCAGGTTGAGAGATACTGGGTCAAATATAAATAGAATTGCTGAAGGTGAGCACATGAACTCCGTCATTTTCTCAAAACAGGTATAAAATCCCAGTATGTGGACAGGAACCTACCGCATTTCATTCAAAATCTCAATAACTATTTTATGCTGCAAGACCTTTGATCTCAACGCTGCAATGCTCCTACGTGTTGCTGCCAAACATACCAGGGGAACCCGGACATTAAATGGAGTATCCCGCATTTGAATATATCGAAGTAAGCATCAGATATGATGAAATAAGCTCACTTAAAAACTATTGGTATCCTTTTAAGTGGAGCATGCTGCTCTAGACAACACAATTTCCCTGTGTAGTAAATAAGCTCGTCAATACCTTGCTCAACATTGATTGGGATCCAATGGGCGGCCGTGATATCTGGAAGTCGTACTCACGAAAGCCAGATATGAATAAATTGGCAGGATTTCAATGACGTTATTATGACGTCATGGAAGCCTTAGTGGCCTTGAAATAGTCTATACTTATCAGCGGCCGTGTAGCTCAGAAACTAGAAGGGTTCAGGTTTTAAGGAGGGCAGGGTTGTGAACTGCACCGGATGGTCCTTAAGATGGTTATTTCAGTTCAAAACCCAATAGAAATGTGAAACACTTTCTTTAATGGTGCACTGGCATTGCGGTACAATGCCTTCTCTCTGGGACTTGAACGCGACTTCAGTAGGCCTTAAGCACCCCATCTTTTTCCTACGATTACAGGGAAGATCTAATTTAAATAGAAAATTAGATAATAGTATGATACAAAATTCCTAGCAGAACAAAAACTCATCATTGAGTACCTTGGTAACTGTTTTGTACTTTTCAATAGATACTCGACATGTCATGAGCGCTTTATGCTGATTTCGGTATTTCAATATCTACCGGATGAAAATTTTTGGTCACACATTCGAATGTTTGCATCAGAATGCTCAACTCCATCCACTTAGTCCCTTAGATCAGTAGTCCCCGAGCTCGACCAACGTCTTGTTTACAACACCGATCTTCTTCACAGAATTCAAATGCTCGGTGAAATGCTCGAATCTTGTTCAAGGTCTGTATGCTCAGTTATATGTAATGTATACCAACGTTTCGTATGCGGTACTTTGACGAGGCTTGAGAGTGAACAAATATTCGAGACGTGCGCCATGCTAAACTGTCATTCGGAGGCAAAAATCGGGAGAAAATGCGGGCAGATTTTCTATTAATTTATCAGCACAGACGCGTAAGTGCGCTGGGATTGGGCGGAGAGAGCATAAATTAAAGTATGATGTAGATGCATCGCATTAAATGTAACTGCAGTTGCCCGGTGACTTAGACTTAGATAGACTAGAGCCCCGCCGCTGAGCAGTTTGACCCTATGGTTCGCTACATAATACCAAAAATATCACAGATATGCCAGCTACGAAAAATTTATTCCACATGTTTCATTCAGTTAGATTCAGCTTAAAAAGCTTTTGCTTCACAAATGAAAGTACTGAAGCAAGCATAAAATATAATGAAATGAGCCCAACGGGCATATTTTTTTCGAAAACGCTGTTCTAGACGACACAAATTTTTGTTTGATAAACGTGCTCCTGAATACGTCATTGTTTGATTTCGCCATTGTACCTTGCATCACATCAATTAAGAGCCAGTTGACGGCCATTTCATTTGGAAATCGTGCTTACGAGCGCCAGATAAGAACGGCTTAGCAAACATATGTTTCGTGGCCTTGTTCGTCGCATGCCCAATAAACTGGGAGGATTTGAATGACGTTATTATAACTCATGGGCAGATGGGTGATCTTGAATAAGTCTCCCCGAAATAGTTTTCACATCTTCGCGTGCAAATAGCTCAGAAGTTAGAAGCGTTTAGGTCTTAAGAAGGGCAGGGCTGTGAACTACACCGAATGGTCTTCAAGATGACTACCTCAGTTTAAAAGTCCATATAAGTGTGGAACACTCCCTCTAAGCATTCATTCATTTTTACCTTGTGCAAGTGCTGTGCGTGAAATATCGGTGTTTCGGCGAGGAGGAAGGGTGTAACATAGCAGAGGTGCCACCGGGCAAACCAACTAGAGCGGAATGTGCCTAATTTTATCCTTTTGCCACTGAAAGGTGCTCGTTCCGACGGCTTTGGCACATCAACTTTTCTCGTCATTCGGCACCCATGTGCGTATACCTGCATCGTCACTACAACTAATTGACCAATTTTTGCATTTGAGCTGAGAAAAATGTCAGAGTTTATTGAATAATACGGTTCATTCAATATTTTTCACCCAAGCGCGAACACAAAAAGTACTTACACTGCACCACGCAAGATAATACCTTTTTCACGACGCGTCATTATTACTGCGGCCGACGTCCATAGGCATCGTTCAGTGCCTGAGTCAAACAGCAGCATTCTAGACATGTGACAGAAACCGTCGGCGCAACTCCGGCAGCGCAGCGTGGGCCGCTTAGTCGGTTACACCCAGTGTTGCTAGGCGTGCTGACAGCCAAGTGCACGATGATGGGGCATTAACGCGACGAACCATCTCTTCCCACTCATTACGAACGCCGACCGGTGTAATACACAAACCGCCAGCCGCCCTTCGGCGGAGTAAACCCGCTTAGCGTTGCCCGAGTTTGCCATGTTGTCGCTCCATCTGAGAGCGAGTGTAATATCAAACGTAGTCAAACGTCCAGCCGGGACGTAATTTAGCCAGGAGGGCATTATCATGTGGCTGCGAAGGGTCGGTGTAATGATAATATACGGCCGACACGGGTGAGACGATTGGTGCTAAGTGACTTGGCCTGAATTCTAGGCCAGGCAGGCGTCGTCCACGCGTCATGCGATGGTGATAACCCGGTGTTCACATCAAAGACATGCCACCAGCCCGGCAAGGAGGCGGTGGTGTCAACTGAGAATTTGAAGGGTTTGTACGCATCGCGTATCTGCCGATCATCATAAAGAGAGACGACTGGAACCAGGGTTTACAGCACATTTTTTGGTAGAAAGATTGGATAATTAGACATCAACCCCACGGCGGGTGGGCTGCTAGTCCTCCCCCCCCCCCCCAGCTTTTTTGAGACCAATGAAAGCCGGTAAACGTCAGCATTGTGAAATTTGACTGCGGTAAAGACATATATCTTGCGCACGTTTTGTGCAAAATGTTCCCACGGCGGGCCAATGTGGGTGATTCGTGCTGTGACAACAAAAAGCAGCTTTGCACACGAAACCAGTGCTGAATGATAGGGTGGTTCACTGAAAAGTCATAGTACTAAGAGATTTCATCCATATTATTCAGACACAATTCAGCAAAATGATGCGTTATGTTCCCAATGTGTAGATGCCTGTGCAGCTTAAAATCAAGACCGAGATACACAAGCGCTAGACATCACTTCAGCGTAATCCTCTCCACCTCTGTGCAAGATACCCTGAGCCCGCGGTACGTCGCTCCTTTCCAAATGAACGCTTTTAATCGTTGCGTTTCCCGTCGCGTATGCGTTTCGAAGAACGCGTCATTAAAATTATTCGTTTGACAAGTGGCGATGAAACCAAACAACGTCCGCGAATCATTATTACCCAAAACTTCTTACTGCTTACGGCGGTTACGACGGCCTCGTGACGCCTTACATGTAGCTGCATGGTCTCATCAACGAGTGGCAGATATCACGTAAGACCAGCTTTAAAGTCCGGCTTTCCAAATCCTAAAGCATCCAAGCGATGGTTATTCCATCAAGCACACTTTACGCTCTGAGCTTTTGGTAGGAGTTTGGTAAGCTTTTGGCAAGTTTGGTAAGCTTTTGGTGCTTTGGAAATAAACTGAACGGAAGATATTTCGCCTGACATGCGTCTCGTCTCCATCCTGCCACACACAGCGACTGAACTCGTAATTAAAAGAAGCGTCAGAAGCCCCCCAAATAAGGGCCAAATGGAGTATTTATTATTTGCTGTAAACACCGGCATACCGAGCTACGCCTTTTGCAAGGAGACGTATAATACCGTGCCGGCGTGTGCGTGTGTGACTGGCGTGACTGTGGACGCTGGCCGACGTCGCGAGGAGCCGACAATGGCCGCGGCGCGGGGGCGTGACTGCCGTGACTGCACACCTGGTGCGGCCACTCCTTCCCGCTGCACGGCAATGACGCAAGATCGAGCCGCGGTCCGCTCACAGCACCGGACGGTGTCCACACCGTCTGGACGAGCAGGTGCCGGACGGCGTCGCCCGCTGCACCGCGCGCGGAGCGAAAGGACTTCGTTGTCCGAGCTCAGCTGGGACTCCACCGTCCGAGCTCAGCTGGGGTTCCGCCGTCCGAGCTCGGTTGGGGCACCACCGTCCGAGCTCAGCTGGGGCTCCACCGTCCGAGCTCGGCTGGGGCTCCACCGTCCGAGCTCGGCTGGGGCTCCACCGTCCGAGCTCGGCTGGGGCTCCACCGTCCGAGCTCGGCTGGAACTCCAACGTCCGAGCTCGGTTGGAACTTCACCCTCCATCCAAAATACCTGAGCCATATCGTAGTCACCACGGCTGAGGACATAACAAGCTGTAGTCGGTGCCGCTCCAATACACCTAACCCGTCGTCATTAGCTCTGGTCGGTGGTGCTCCATTATACCTACCCATACTGCCGTCATCGGGGTTGAGGACATAAACATCAAAACAGGAGATGTGTGATTAAACTGGAGATGTTAGACGTCCTAGTAAGAAGCCCGCGCGAAACCGAGGGGCAATAGCTAATAAGTACTTTTCATCGAATCAAACCATCTCGGGCGTTGTGACAAGGGTAAAACCCGTCCGGTGGTTCGGTTGACATACAGTTTGGAAAACGTCTGGAAGGAACAGTGGGAGGCGACAAGATTACAAAACTGAATCAAACCCATGGGCCAGCTGACCAGGTCTTACTTTCCACGATCATAAGCAGTTTTGTGAAAGGAAAAATTCCAGCCAGCATGGTGTAACGTCATACGTTTGACACAAGCAAACACATGGTTTGGCGGGCATTTGCGGAAACCATGGATCTTACGTTCTTAGTATTTCGGTAAAATGCATGAAAAATCGCCTGCATGCACCGACTGTTTTTACGCAGAACCCCACCACAATCCGTGTAAATCACACCAAGAATTTCCTCTGCACCATAGGGGCTCTGAAGACGCTGCTAGCCATTGTTGCCGCTAGCGATCCAGGCAACTGATACCTGGATCAGCCTGAAGTGATCCCGCTCAGGGGCGAGTGCAGCATGGGACCTTGGAAGGGACCAAAGGCCGTCTGGAGAGCAAGGTTCCAGAAAAAGGTGTCAAGTGTGTTAAGATCAAGAAAAAGCGGCACCTACACATTAACGCGTTTCCCACGGTCCTGGGAGGTCTGTTTCGCACAGTCCGTTGTCGTTTATGAGCACACTGTAGGCTGATTGCAGTCAACCAGCGTGATGCGACCACGTCAATTAGTCCCTGCCAAAGAATTCGCGTGACACATATATGCGCTATGAATTATATTTTCCATATTTGCACGCATAAAAATATGTTCACTTCCATCCGAACATCGTTTTGTGGACCTTTTGACAAACCGGCCTCACTTTCGGACAGGCTACAAAACAATGTCTCTGAGAGATAGTTAGCCAACACTAGCCAACATCGCCAAAAAACAACTAAATGGCCAATCCTCCCTTGACACCAAATTTGATGCCCCTGGAGTCCACAAGTATCATTACATATTTTGTTCACACGCAGAAGTTTCCGAAATGATTGACAAGTCTTTCAAGTGCATCACATATCCGTCTCTACGGCAAGTGCATGGCATATCCGTCTCTACTTCAAGTGCATCGTGTGTCCGTCTCTACTTCAAGTGTATCGCGTGTCCGTCTCTACTTCAAGCGCATCGCGTGTCCGTCTCTACTTCAAGTGCATCGCGTGTCCGTCTCTACTTCAAGTGCATCGCATATCCGTCTCTACTTCAAGTGCATCGCATATCCGTCTCTACTTCAAGTGCATCGCATATCCGTCTCTACTTCAAGTGCATCGCGTGTCCGTCTCTACTTCGAGTGCATCGCGTATCCGTCTCTACTTCAAGTGCATCGCGTATCCGTCACTACCAGCCGAACCGAATGAGTCAAAAGGTATAGACAACAAGTAATGAACACGACAAATCACCCTGTCCTGGGCATCAAAATGCCGTTGAAGGCGGTTGGCAGCTACTGATACAAGTAGCAGACTTGGTGGTGAAACAGGTTGTACGCCATTGTACGATGGTGCGTGTGACGGCGCCAGAACAAGGCCCGGGAAAACCGCTGGACGTCTGAGCTCCCTGACCTCCAGTCCTCCAGCCCGGCAGGTCTTGTCACCATTCGCGGTCGATGTGTACTCACGCCGAAACACCAGCCATCGCTGCACGGACTTTATCGCCCTAGCTGACAGGCAGATGTCAGCTTGCGCGACCAAGCTGGCAGCCAGCTTACTGAGCCTGGTGGGCGGCCGGACAGCGGATCGATGACCTCTGATCCCCTGAACAGGACTGCATGAGCTGCTGCGCCGCTGAACAGGTCTCTTCTCAGACGGCATGGATTTGCCATTACATGAAATATATTATATGATATGTTGCTGCATGATGTGCACTAATATCGATGTGGGTGAGCTATTGACTTAGGGACAGTAGCGGACAGTTATGCTGTATTTTTGCCCACTACTACTTTTTTGTCTTATAACCAGCAATATTTTGTTACTTTTACCCCTACGTAGGTAGCTTGACGGTTTGTCTTTATGGTTGTTGTCTTTATGCGTTATGCATGATGTAATTATTATGATCACTTAGTTAGTTTTGAGGTCATCACTTTTTAGTTTTGAGGTCGCGTCAACTGCACCGTTTTTGTGCCAATATTATTACTATACTTATTTCTGAGGCTTCATTATGCCTGCTACTGGGTAACATCGAGGCAGGGACACTCCTGGTCGCATGTTGCTGGCTGGCGGCCGGAAAAGGGTTTTGGTCTGGTGGGCGCTAGGTGTGAAGGCTCCTCGGCAGAGAAATACAACTGCCAACAGGCGATAGCCTCTATCAGCAGGTGAGATGGACTGCTGTTGGAAGCCCTAACGGGCTGGCTAGGTCCGCAGGTATCCCGCCGGATTGGGCGGCGCATTGAGCTGGGCATATATGTTCGGAAAATTACGATTGGTATTGGTAAAAATTCGGGTATGGGCAAGACGTCTACGAAACGTAGGGCTGATATTTTAAAAAGGTTTCACAATGTTACCGCTCGCACTTGTTTGAGTGATTGATAGAATAGCTTCAATTGCACATCTTGTGCAGTCATCGCCATAAGAGTAAGCTTGGGTGCAAGCGGGAAAAATTAACAACGGCTGGATGAAGGGTGGGAACAACTCATAAGGGTTAGCACGTATGTATTGTCACTGCCCCATGAGCAGAGGAAGGATTGGATCAGGTGAATGTAACCCGTGAAGGCCTCTGGACTACGTGTAGGTTAATTTTCCGCGCACGGTTTCAACAATGGGATGTGGTGCTCTTTATAGCTGGAAGCTGTCATGCAAAACTGTTTTGTTCGCAAACCTTACCAACGGTATTTTGCTACACCAAAGCACCATTTTAACTGTTAAAAAATGTTGGAAGTCGAAAACAAACAGTCGGGGGAGCATATTGGACGCGGCACTAACGCCGATCTTTGCAAGACCAACCGGTGCTATGCCACGAGGTGATAAACAAAGCAAACCTCGTGGCAAGCGCACCCACGAGCGAGCTCCCTCACTGAAGTGTTGGAACGGGGAGCGAACTCCAGCCTGTGCGCGTGGACTGGCAAGCAGGCCATTTCACGCCCAATGCTCAATTTCAGCGACGCTTGCGCTTCTGACGCTCCCCTTTTCACTTGCTTCACCACTTTACTTACCCCAGGCCGGGAAGCTGGGCGAGCACGTCGCGCTGTCTTTCCCCGTGGACTGGCAGGCGGCGTGGGGCGCACTGCTCACCTCGCACGTCACTGCGCCGCTCACAGCTCGTGTGTCCAGCGCGCCGCTCGCCTGTCGGAGCGAGGCCTGGCCGGGCGGCTGTCTCCCATCGTCCGCCTCCCGGCCGGCCGCTACCACCGGCAGACTAGCAGTCGGCCCGTACGCCGGCCGAGCCCGGACGCCAGCCGCACGGGCGGAGCCAGCAACCGCCGTCGTGGCGCACGCTGGGCACGCCCCTGGCGCAGCTCAGCCGGACCGGACCGCCGCGCGCCGCCATTGGGCGGTGGCGCGCGGCGGCCCGGGCTGTGTCGGCGGCGCCCCCCAGGTGTGCTGCCTGGCGGCGCGCCTGGCCCGGCCGGAGCCCGCCGGCCAGGTGCTGATGGCGGGCGGAAAGCGGGCTCGATCCGGAGCCGGACGGGGCCGCGGGCGGCGCCACGGCCGGCCGGCCATACCGCGTGCTCGAGTTCCGCTCCGCTGGCGCCCGCGGCCGCCGCCGCGTCTCTATCGGAAGCGAGGCGCCAGGCTCGTGCCCGAACAGTGACCGCCTCGCCACAGTGAGCTTGGTTCGGAGGCCTGGCCCGTTTACAAGGCCCATATTATTACTAAACCTGGACGCGACAACCTCATCAGAATCCGCTAGTGGACAACGCCCTAGCGTTACCGGATTTCGAGGGGAGGTCCGTCGACGGGGAATGGGAACAGACGGCCGGCGGGCGCGCTGTCCGTCCAGCTCCCTGAGCCGTCGGCCGTCAGCTTAGCTCGGCGGTGGGATCGCAGGCAGCTGCTCCGGAGCTCAGAGCCCCGCCTGGCGTCCTGCGGGCTGTTGGACGCCTGGTCCTCCGGTCCGCCGCCAGCCGCCGGGGCTGTTGGACGCCTGGTCCTTCGGTCCGCCGCCAGCCGCCGGGGCTGTTGGACGCCTGGTCCTCCGGCCCGCCGCCAGCCGCCGGGGCTGTTGTCCGCCCGTCAGCTCTTCCGGCCGGGTGTCGGTGACGACAAGCTCGGTGCCGTGTCACGCCGTCAAACGCCTTTGCCGCACCACAACCTGCCAAACGCACGTCTGTGCGTCGGCGTTGGTGGTGCACCAGGTGTTTTGACCATTCTAAGCTCACTTGTATTGTAGGAAGGCTCACAACACACGCTGCAACTGGCTGCAGCTTGGTGGACTGTTTTTCACTCGAGATGTCACGAGGGCGGGCTTCCCTTAGATGGCGCTGGTACCGGCATCTGGTTGTGAATAATATGCCAATAGTTGACACTGATTGAGCGTGTGAATACGACCGGGAATTAACCAGCGACGATGACAATGATCTCGGGCATCTCGACTAGACATGCTGTCATACTGAACACCAGTGCCGAAGGTTTATCTTAAGAGCAGATGTCCAGGACCTTCTTGAGTCCCGGTTATCTAGTGTGCGCCTTGGGCGTGATTTTAACCTTATCATGCTTTGGTTGTCCTGAGCTGACCTCACAAACCTACCGCTGTGCCACAGTCCGCAGTCACGCACAGCGCGCTCGAGCGAACAATCACAGCTGAGGGCGGAACAGCTGAGCTGCTGAAACAGCAGGCCGGTGCTGCTCCCCAAGCGGCCCGGGCTGGCCCCCTGACGCCCTGACTGCTGCACTATCTGGCTGTCCAGCGGTGCCCTCGCCGAGGTCAGGTGAGTCACGTCTCTGATCGCGCCCCCTCGGCGGCTGGGTGACGCGTGCCCCCGGCGTGCCCTGGCACCTCGAGGTCCGGCCCCGCTGCAGCTCGGCGACCCGGCCGGCCACGGCCGTCAGCTCGGACGACACGCTGTCAGCTCTCCTTCGAAACGTTTGAGAATGCGATCGAACCAAGAGATGGAGCGAAGCTATCTGCTCCTGCCTGGTACTGTTCACATATCCGTGGCCATGTCGTGTGTAATGGCGTTTCCTATTGGGGATTTGCTGAGCAAGTGCATCGCGCGCTCAGCCCGGCAGACTGGCGTTGCATACACTCAACGTTCCAACATGCTTGAAGGCAGATTGCGGGTGGTGTTTACAAGCTGCAGGTGCCGAGCGCCTTTGTCGCCCGAAACATTGGAAACGCCCGGTGTCCGGCGACCCCTGCCGCTGCTGGCATGGCTCCAGCAAGCCCCAGCCGGACTCTGCAGACAAACCGGTCCGGTGACTTCATCGGCCGGGCGGCTGGCTGTACCATCCGTCCGGCGGCGCTGTCCGACGACGCGGACGCGACACCTACCCGCATGGAACGGTGGCACCGCTGTCCGCGCCGGCAGCCGGACGCAGCGGCTCAGGTTCACGCCGCCCGTGCGCGCACGCCCCGAGGCCGGTCAGCTGTGAATGGTGTTTTGGGTGCAGTTGTCGACTCTTTGTGACGCAACATCCATGAATGTTGGTCTGCTGTAACTTGGTCCGCTAAGTCAGCGGATTGTATTGAGCCAAGGAACACGGAGGGCTTTGCTTGCCATAGCGGAAGCCACATATACCTTGGAGTTACTGTGCACCGGTGCTCGCACGATCCGCCTTCCACGATGTAGCCGTCTCTGCCCGTGACGTGTGAGCCGTGAATGCCGCTCTGACGGATTATTTTGGCCGCGGTATGTGGCGCTTCGGTCACGCATCAAGCCTTGGCGTGGTCCGTCGCGTTGTGGTGGCGCGGCCACCGGGAATTGTACCAGAAGCATGAAACTCGAAGCGCGTTTGGGAGGTTTTGCATTTTGAAATATTGCATGTGTTGATCTCAACGGAGACCAGGTTCAAGATATTCTTCAGAGCGCAAAATAGCTGTACATAACACATCGGACGAGCAGGTGGAATGACGTGATATCCTTGGCGTTCGCGAACAGAAACTACAAGGCCATCGAGCATATTATCATAAATGTGGTGTGTTTACTTCCCATGTGGCGTGCTTCAGTTATGTTCCACTGCAGGGTGCTCCAAATATGGTGGCTCGGCAACCAAACATCAATATGTATCGAGTATTGTGGCCGACAGGGCCACGCTTAACGTTTAGTATACTGACCGTACGTGTGCCGCGCGGCTCCTGCCGTGTGCCATTGCGGTTGGAGTGGTTTTGCTGTTGACCGCGGGTGTGACCGGACGGGTCGCAAATCGGGCCCGGCCGCTGATGTCCCAGAGCCGTCCTGATGTGCCTGCCGCTGGGCTGGCTGACCTGACCGAGGTCAATCGTGGTCACCGGCGCGTCCGATGACCGGCGGCCGAGGCAACGCCTCCCTTGCTCACCGCTGCAGCTGAAGTCACTGTCTCCTAAACTCACCGCTGCAGCTGACGTGTCACGGCCTTCCTCGCTCACCGCCTCCCTCGCTCACCGCTGCAGCTAACGTCACAGCCTCCCGTGCTCACCGCTGCAGCTGGCGTCACTGCCTCCCTCGCTCACCGCTGCAGCTGACGTGTCACCGCCTCCCTCGCTCACCGCTGCAGCTGACCTCACAGCCTCCTGCGCTCACCGCTGCAGCTGGCGTCTCACAAGTCACCGGATCCCGCAGTTAAGGTCAAGTGATCCCGGTCCCGTCAGTCCGTCTTGGGAAAGGACATTCTGGCGACAGCTTACCTACTCACAACACTTGTAATCACTTGGAAAAGGTCCCCTCAAATATTCGCCGCAATGACAGTATGAATTACGTCTTGGAATTGCTGGAGTAAGTCCAGGGAGATGCTTCGTGTCATGATCCTTTTATGTTTGACTGTTCGACATCATCAATTATTCAGGACTCAATAACACCTGACCACCACCAGAAAAACTAACTGAACTTACCGAACGAAAGATTATGCACTTGCTAAAGTGCCTGTTGAGGACGATAGCCCGGAATATTGATTATGTAACTACATTATTGTTGAGGCCTCTGATGATTAGTACATCAGTGATGCTATTGAGTCGCCTCAGTTCTTGCATAAAACCATTCATTTTACACCGTTCTACACCCTGATTTTTGTTCTGATTTTGGCTGCTTGCATTTAATATAATCAGCGAAGGTGTGATGTCATAAGTAGGGTCATAGAGTACAAACCAATGCTTAAAAGAAAAAAGACCGAACACTCTCGCAGCGTTTGTGGCTTTCCGCTCTGCCTTTGTGCCATGGCTCGTTGGTATTGCTGATGTCAAAATAGTCAATGAGTTAAATACGGCTGATGCAAATGCGCCATCTGCTGATGTCAAAACAGTCAATGAGCTAAATACGGCTGATGCAAATGCGCCAGATGGTTGCAGCATGCGTCAATTCATCTATCAAATGTTGGCGACATCTGGTGAGTGGCTAGCGCAGATAGTTGTTTCATTACAATAGCAATGACTATGACTAACTGTGACTATGACTAAACCCTATCCTTTTCTATACAACATGATGGCGGCGACTTACAAATTTATAGTCCCTATGCTCTCGATACTTTCAGTGGAAATATTCCCCGTTCACAGACTATGACTATGACTAAAACATATCCCATCTAGGCAAAATAATGGTGGCAATTTACAACACTTATAATGCGTGTGCTCTCGATACCTTCAGTGGAAATGATAGGCAATCCTTCTTTAAATTTGAACACCGGACCTATGGTAATGCATGACGATGATAGTAATGCATGATACCCATGACTTCATCATTTCCAAACTTACTTTTGGGCATAGGCGTACGAACGTTTCAAAAAGTGGGGGCAAGCTCGGGATGCACTTCAGGAACTTTTTTCTCTGGAAGGCAGGCCAGATGACCGGGAAGGGAGGGGGTAGGGATGATGATTGTTATCGCTCTTTATTCAAATGTCATGGCTGCTATGCTAGCTATGCATCTAGGGTGGTGCATAATCTTGTCTATTGTCTATGTCTATGTCTATGTCTATGTCTATGTCAAATGTCAACACACTGGTGCACAATCTTGCCTATTCGACTCATCTGTCATTTGGCAAATAAGGCTATCCAGCTTCCCTAGATTATTCCTCCATTTTAGCATTGTCTTTCCTGGGGAGACGAAATTCCACGAGCGGGTAGGTATTTTGGGTCGTTAGGTAAACATTTGCCTCCACAGTGT